AGGCAGGAGAATCGCTTGAACCTGAGAGCCAGAGGTTGCAGTGAGCCAAGATTGTGCCACTGCACTCCAGCCTGGGTGACAGATGAGACTCCGTCTCAAAATAAATAAATAAATACATAAATAAGTAAAATAAAATAAAAATAAATAAATAAATAAAATAAAAATACAAAGAGTAGGCAGGTGTGGTGGTGCATGCCTGTAATCCCAGCTACTTGGGAGGCTGAGACACAAGAATCACTTGAGCCCAAAATCACCCCACGGCACTCCAGCCTGGGTGGCAGAGCAACGCTCGATCTCAAAAAAAAAAAAAAAGAAAGAAAGAAAACATATTTCTAAATCTTAGGTTAAGTTCTAACTTAAATCTATCTAACATGGTAAAACCCTCTCTCTACTAAAAATACAAAAACTAGCTGGGTGTGGTGGCGTGGGCCTGTAGTCCCAGCTACTTGGGAGGCTGAGGCAGTAAGCCAAGACTGCACCACTTGCACAGCAGCCTGGGTGGTAAAGTGAGACTCTGTCTTCAAACAAGAAAAGAAAGACAGTGCCCTGGGAACAAGGAGGAACTTGAAATGAGGCGGAGCTAGTACAAAGGCCACATGCTCCTGCAAATCCTCCAACTTTTTTTGGAACCAGATTTCCTCTCTATCACTTGTAGTCGCAGGGTGACCTTGAGCAAGCTAGTTAACCCCGCTGGGCCTCAGGTCTATCATCTGCACAACAAGGCTGAGTTGTTCTGCCAGCCCCGAGTTACTGTAAATGATTTACATGGAAGCTCTTTGTGAGCTGGTTACACAGATCATCTTATATTCTCCTTCAAAGTAGGTCGTTCCCAAATGATTTGCCTAAATTTGGTATTTCCTAAGCAGAAAGTTTTTCCCCCTCCAATGGCTAATGAAAAGCAATGTTTTTGTCATTGGAGATATGGTCAAAAATTGCAATTCAGATACATAACAATTCCTTGCTTTCATACAGCACTGTACAGTCTATACAACACTTCCAAATTCTTAATCTTTGCGACATGACGAAAATATGGCTAGTCATAGCCAGTCCTGGAAGGAATCCCGAAAGTCCCCATTCTTAATCTCTCAGTGCCTGGGTTTCCGTGTTACCCATGTAATATAGAAGACAATATGGTAGATATACCAGAGCAGGAGTTTGAGTCGGGCTGACCCAGATTCTAATATCAGCAACGGCCACTTGCTATGTGACCTGGAATAAGACAATTTCTCTGAGCCTCAGTTTCCTCTTCAGTAAAATGGGAAGAATTTCTATATCTCAAAGAGTTCTTGTGAGGACAAATGATCATGTATCAGCATGTTTGGGGCACAACAAAAGCAGCATAACAACTAAACATCCATTACCTTACTTAACTCATCCCATTTTACGAATGAGAAAACTAAGGCTGAGGCCAGGCCAATGGCTCATGTCTGTTACGCCAGTACTTTGGGAGGCCGAGGCAGGTGGATCACCTGAGGTCAGGAGTTCGAGACTAGCCTGGCCAACATGGCGAAACCCCATCTCTACTAAAATTACAAAAATTAACTGGGGGTGGTAGCGGGCACCTGTAACCCCAGCTACTCGGGAGGCTGAGGCAGGAGAATCGCTTGAACCCGGGGGGCGGAGGTTGCAGTGAACCGAGATCATGCCACTGCACTCCAGCCTGGGCAACAGAGAAAGACTCCGTCTCAAAAAATATAATAATAATAATAAATAAAATAAAATAAAAAATAAAAAAATTTAAAAAGTAAACTAAAGTTGAAAGTGTCTATCATTTGCCCTAAGGTCTTAACGTGGTAAAGGAGTCCAAGTCCGTGCATTTAAACAAGCTGATACGACTTGGCTGCAGGTTCTGGCCTCCCCTCTCCCTGATAATAAAAGTGTTCTCCAGTACCTCATTTTATTATCCACCAATAAGTGTTCCGAGTCATGGGAAGTTTCCATTCAGAAATTCCCCAGTGAGAGAAGTCTGGGGTGACTGTCTCAGAGCAGGAAGACTTTTTTAAAAACCATCATCACCGTCATTACTGAAAGGAGACTCAAGGGTCAGTGTGGCCCTCAGCGCAGACGTCGGGG